AATATTCAGAATTTTAGTTCAACTCTTTTTTTTATTGTTGTTGTTTTTTTCAGAGAAACTATTTTTGACTAGGTAGTCTTAAAAATATTGTTCACAGATGACTGGGGTGATGGATAAGTGAGTAAAGTGCTTGCCTTGCATGCGTGAGGATTTAAATTCAGATCCTCTGGCATCTTCAGAGTAGGAAAGAAGATGGACACAGTGGCCTATCCCTGTAATCCCCATGGCTCCAGGCACAGAAACAGAAGAATCCTAGGGACTCTCTGGCTAGCCAGTCTAGCCCAACCAATGAGAACCAGATTTAGTTCAAAAACTTCGGTGAAATGTGAGGCTGCAGACATGGTTCGAGAAGTTAAGAACACTTGCTATTCATCCAGAAGGCCCAAGTTCAATTCCCAACGCCCATAGCAGGTTCCCATTTAATCAGATGCCCTCTTCTAGTTCCTGTGGATATGTGCACTGTGGTGTGTTTTCACAAAAGCTCACACGTGTACACATGAATAAAATAAAAATAAATGCAAAAAGATAAGGGGAAAGCAATTGAGGAAGACACCCAGCATTGACCCCTGACTTCCTGAGACTTTACTAGGAGTTGCTACTATTGAAGTTATCTCAGTTGTTTAGTCTGTCTCTCCATGCACATCGCTGAGTTTTTATGGAGAACATACCAAGGTTATTTATCTACCACTGTACCTTCTGGGCTGTAAGGAATGCCTACACCTTCCTTTTGCTATGTTACTGTAGAAAACGTTATCAAAAATTTAGATGCTTAAGCAAACACACATCTCGCAGCTTCTATAGGTCAAGAATTCCACTACCAAGATGGTGCACTCACAGGGCCTAGGCAATCCTCTGCCTGTTTAGGAAGGCCAAGTTCTTCATCACATGAACCTTTTCCTGGGTATTGTTCTGATGTCCTCGAGACAAAGCAAGAGCTCCCCTTAGAATGCATAACTATGAGAACAAAGCACCTTCTGCACTCTAGCCTGGGAAGGCCACATTCTACCATTTCCACCCTATGTGACTAGTTACATGAGTCAGTCATGTTCATTGCAGAAGGGGATTTACATGGTATGTCATCTCCAAGGCTGTCATACATAGGTAATTGTTATTCCATAAATATAATTTACAGGTCCCAAAGAAACCCTGGACAATTCTCACTCAGTACCTGTGGCTCCTCCCAGCACTTCCCACCCTACCCCCTTACCCTAAACCTCTCCAGCCTAGGGGCCAAGCTTTGCTTCTCCCAGCTTCTTATTCCTATATAATTCAGAAATTCTGGCCATGAGCTGTCTTGGACCTTTGGTCCTTGGCTTCTCTCTTGATCTACTTGCCCTCTCTCTTCTTCTTTTCTCTCTTCTCTTCTCTTCTCTTCCTCTCTTGCCCCCCACTCCCACATCGCCCACTTCAATCTGTACCCTTCTAGATGCCTCAGGCTGTATTTTTCTCATATCTACAATAAAACCTCCTCAGCCATACCTAGAAGCAGGCATGTCCTCATTTTCATTCAATATTAAACTAATGAATTGTGTCTTAATTTTATAATTAAACTAATTAATTCTTCAAGAGATAGCTTATTTTCAAATGTTTGGAAAATACTCTCACTATATCAACCTTATTCCCTAACATAATATTCTATTTTATTTATAAAACAATGTTTATTGAATTTTTTGTGTGTCTGTGTATGTAAGTGCATGTGCGCAGGTGTGTGTGTGTGTGTGTGTGCGTGCGCACACACACACACACGTTCCACAACACCTGTGTGGAGATAATAGAACACCTTTTGGGATTCTTTCCTCTCCTTCCACCATGTGGGTCTGAAAATTGAATTCAGTTCACTGGGCTTGATGGCCAAGTGCCTATACTCACTGAACAACCTCATCAGCATCAATGCAAAAAATAACAATCTATGTATGTTCTTGTGATTATGCTTTTGTTCATATCCAGTTTATTTGCAAGACAATTTAATGAGGCATTTTCAGCTAGCAGCGCCTTAGAGAACCTGGGCACTGGGATTGCTATAAACATCAGCAACCTGCTAGTCAGAACATCTGGTTCCTCTGTCACAGTATATTCACTATGGTCTCATCTGAAACCACTTCATCTATAAGACAAAAACAAGGCAGATTTTATTCAAATGCTGTAAATGAGGACACCTTATCAGGATCCAGTTTTACTGAGAAGCAAAGCCAGAAATGCAACTTTGGTGTTTTGATTGCTTCTATCAGAAGAAAGACTAAGAAGGAAATGTGTTTAAGGTGGGCTAGATTACACTTCAGAAGCAACTACACCATGTCAATGCTTCAAACAAGAGAACTGCTCCTGTAAATCCAAAGTGTGGGCTGACATTCCAAGACAAGGGTTCACCTCTTCCTTTGAAAGACTCTGAGTGGCCTCTGGGGCTGTGTTGGTTAATCTCAACTGTCAACTTGATTGAGAAATACTTAGGAGACTGGTAAAGATGTCATTAATTAGAATCTCAATGAACTACTGGGAGTTGAGGTCTGGACAGAGATGGTAGCTCACGGGGATGGGAGGCATGACTTAAGTCAGTGTCTTGTTCTGACCTTTTCCTCTTCTCCCATCCTTTCCCTTCCCTCAGCTTCCTGTCTCCTGTAAGGTGAGCTGCTCACCTTCCGCTTTGCCACACACTACATGCCATGGACTTATATGTCAGAAACCAGAAGCTAAGATTACATTATTCTTGCTTAAGTTCCTTCTGGCATGTATTTTGGTCACAGCTATACAAAAGGAGCTAATAAGGTGTTTAAACATAGGCAACAGAGAGAAAATCAAATGTGTTCACCCCAAATGACAAGAATCCTTCAGCATCACAGCTCATGAGCTCCTTCTCAAGGCCCTACTTGACTGCAAGCAAAAAGAGATGTGTAAACTTCCTTTGTCCAGGGCACAGGTGAGTCCAAGACTCTATGTACGAATAATAGTAAAGTATGTATAGGATTTGTAAAAATAGTAAACTATTCTTGAGGTCCCTCAAGAACACTCAGAAAAACATGAGGAAATAAACACAAAACATTTGATCTTTTTGAAAGCCAATTGCTATGTTCTCTAATGTTCATCTTTTACTAGTTCATGTAGACATCATCCCTTTTCTATGGTTTAAGATGTGGAAGTTTCATAAGTAACTAACTAACCCAGGGCTTACACTAATAAATAAAAGAAATTTGATGCCCTTTTCCTTCCTTTCTCTATCCCTTTTTAAGTGTGTGTGTGTGTGTGTGTGTGTGTGTGTGTGTGCGCGCGCGCGTGTGTGTGCACACGCGTGCCATTGTGTACATGGATAACTTTGTGTTCAGGGGATAACTTTGGGAAATTGGTTCTCTTCTAAAATGTAGGTTCTGAAGTTCCTTGGTGTAAGGATTCAGGCATTGCGCTGGCCTGCCTCTGTCACCTGGCAGAATGCACTCAGGCAGTACACTGGTCAGCTCAGGGTTCCATGAGTACTAGTCTGCAGGCAGGTGTAAAGGACCCCTTTAAAAGTCAGACCCCTGCCCACTTATTCTCTCTTTTGCTTTCTCTATTCCCCTCTCTCTCTCTTTCTCTTCTGCTTTCAGGTGACCACCAGGTACCCCCTTCTTTTCTTCCCCCCTCTCTCTGCCCCTCTCTCCTCTTCTGTTCCCGGTGCCTCTGTGTCTCTTCCCTTCTCCCTCACTCCCCTTTCTAAATAAACTCCTCATTTAAGCTCTATCTGCCTGACGTGTTATTCCCTCCCACCTCGGTCACCCTCACCTGCTATGGAACCTGCTATGCTCTCCACTTGGATCCTTACCTTGGGACCCCACTTACTTGGGACCCTTACCCGGGACCACTCACCTCCCATCCCTTCTCCAGCTTTTATTCCTATAACTGTAACGAAAAGAACAACACTTGGGGTTAAAGGCTTGTTCGTTTCTCTACTGAGCCATCCCACTGGTCTTTTCTCCCATCTCCTGGTCTTGTATAATGACCTGTTTTCCATCTCTCAAGAGCTTATTTATGTAAGTGGGAAAGGCAGTTAATAGAGAAGGATACTTGGAGTGTAGCGATTCCGCTGGCTTACTTTTACTTATTACATTGTCTGATGTGCTCACAAACACTTGTGGGTAATCCTTTATACTTTTCATGTCTTAACTATTTCAACACACTTTTAAAAGGGTGGACTGAGTCTGAGTGGTGACAGATTCTTAAATTGGAAAGAATGATTTTGCTAAAATGTCAGCAAAAACGGACATGTACTATTGTTATTACTTAATGCACATGTTATTCCCCAGATAACTTTAAACCATTTATTTACATGTATTTACTTATCTTACCTAGCAACCTTATTAATATGTGACATGAATGTGAGATGCCTGAGTTGAAACAAGTATAGATTATGTAACTTGATCTAAAGTCACAAGATTTATATAGGAGAAAAACTGGTTTTGAAAGTGAACATTCTAGTTTCAGGATACGCACATGTGACTCTGCAATACCTTCCCTATCAAGTGGAGAAGATGAGTCAAATTTGCAGATGAGGGTGAACATCTTTTGGGAATTTATCGCAGTGTGTCTGTTACAATCGGTAGATATTTGTATCCAGTTAAACTGGACACAGCTTTCCCATGACAATGCCAGAGAATAGTGCTAGTGCAAATGGCAACAATTGTGACAAAATGTTTCAGACTCTTCTGCACTGGTGAGAGGAAGGACTACATGACTAATATAGACTTTTACCTATTGAAAAAACTTTTCAAAAAGGAAAGAGTAGGAGAAGAATTTTTAAAAGTCTAAGAAAATATAATTTGGAATTGCTGATATCAACGCTATTGATGTGCCCATCACCATCAATTTTCTTCTGTTTTTACACACACACACACACACACACACACACACACCCTCCGAGGCGGGGTTGACAGTTGCAGCGTGGAGGACTACGGCCAGGGGGCGCGCTCACCCACAGGGCCACTCTGTCTCAGGACGCTCTCCCCTCTCCTCGCTGCTCCTGGCTAGTTGAGAAGGCGGAAGCAGCGGCAGCCGCGGCTGGGGCTAAGGCTCCGGCCGTCTGCGGTTGCAGCGGCTGCTGCCCTCGATCCAGGAGTCTAGCATCGGAGTCCCTTGGTCTCGGAGCGCCGCCTGTGTTGGCGACGCGTTGTGGCCCGAGGGAGCCTCTCTGGTCTGCTGTGGCGTCTCTGCGTGTGCGTGCGGTGAGTGAGCGGCTTTGAACTTGGGTTCCGGCGGCGGTGGGCCCGGGAGAGTCACCCGCGGCTCCCCCTCGAGACGGGGACGTATCTCCGCGGGCCCTCGCCTCCCACAGATCGGAGCCAGCATCACCATGTCCTCACACGGGTCCGGGACTCGGCCCCCTCTCCCCTCCAGTCTGGGTCGCCCCGAGGTCCCCTGTCTTGGCACCCAGCCGCCTCTGCCCTCTGTCCCTGGCCTCTAACAGGTGCAGGACGCGCCCTCTGTCCTCCCACAGGCCGGGGGCGCCCTCTGTCCCCTCCCCGGGGCTGCACGGCCCGGCTCGGGCCGCTCTCGCCCCACAGTCCTGGACCCGCCCCTGGTCAAGAGCCTCTCCCCCGCGTTCCTGTCACCTCCTGGCTCTCTGCATCCCACTTCCTCAGCCCCTGCACATCCTCACCTCGTGTTTTCCCCTTCCCAGGGAAGGAAATCGCCCGCTGGGTTTTCCCATCCCTTCTGGCTTTAAGAAGAAGAAAAAAAAATCCCTTCAAACTTCCAAAGTACGGGGGGTTGGGGGGAATTTTTATGTTCCCTGTTAAATTCGTTAGAGGTCCTAAGTAGTAAGTTTAAAAAAAAAAAAAAGTTCGATGACACCAATGTTCCCTCCCCACCCCTACACTTTAGCGATTGTTCCAGACGCAGTGTCGATAAAGCTGTTCCTAGTATTTGGCTTCAGGGGAACTCCAGCTGAGACTGTCTTCTTGTGTGAACAAAAAGCACCTAAAGCTTGGATGTATAGGATTTGCTTGTTTCTCTGAGAGCATGAGAACAACTTGTCACATCCTAGTGTAGGCTTTGTGACTTGAGCTGCTGCTGGGTTTCACACCTCCTTTGATGATCCTCGAGGGAAAGGAGCTCTCTTTTTTTTTTTTTTTTTTTTTTTTTTTCTGGTTTTTGAGATGGAGGGTGGAGTGTAGACTGTTTGGTATCATGTGACTTAAGGAAAGTGTCTGAGCCATTAAGTTTATACACTTGACTTGTATAAGAAATTGTCCAAAATTTCTGGCTTTTGGAGACGCAAACAATCCCTGAGTAAGGAAAAGCATGGTGAATTTGTAACTAAGTTACATCATTGAATACTTTGTAGCACTTTTTTTAACCATCGTGACACATTTGCAGGTGTATGCATTTTAAGAATGGTTTTGTTGTTGTTGTTGTTCTGGTTTTTTGTCGTTGTTGTTGTTTTTCAAAACAGGGCTTCTCTGTATAACAGCTCTCTGGCTGTCCTGGACCTCATTCTGTAGACCAGGCTGGCCAGGAACTCACAGAGATCCACCTGCTTCTGCCTCCCAAGTGCTGGAATTAAAGGTGTACGTCACCACCATCCAGCAAGAATGGATTTTTAAGGACTTGGCACACAGTTGCTGTTAATAAAGAAATTTGGGGTTTTTTAAACATGATTTTTAGTGTATTCCTCTCTCTCTCTCTCTCTCTCTGTGTGTGTGTGTGTGTGTCTTCATGTGGAAGTCACAGGACAAGTCACTTCTCTCCTTCCACCTGGTAAATCCTACCAGGTGAGCTCCTTATAGTAGAAAATTAAAGGTAATTGCCAGTATTTTCTTTTATGTGGTTTTGATTTATTAATTACATACTTATTTATATATATACTCCAGCTAACATAAAATGTATGCTTCCAAGATGTAACATCCATATTACCTAGCATAGTGTCTGCTTGTGCAGGTCACCCTACCCTTCATGTAAGGCATCTAACTCCATTGTCTTTGAATCATAATATATACCTATATTTGTAGATAGAAACCATGATTTCTGATAAGGCTAGTTTCATTACTTACTCACTGTGGAATTGAAATAAGTTGGTAGTGGTTACCTCTATGGCACTGCATTCAAGCGTCCTTACTAGATTCTCAGCAGCACACAGAATGCAGTCATGACATACAAGGTGAAGAATGACGTGAATTCCATTCTGCCCTCTCTGTTCATGGAGAAAGTCACTCAAATAAGAAAAAAAAAAAAAAAAAAAAAAAAAAAAAAAAAACACTGAGAAATACTCATTTTAGTGAGTCTGGAGTGGGATTTTGTAGCTCATGAAGGGACTCCCCGGAGCGTAGTGTTTGTACACATGCCACACTATGTTCTCACCTCAGTAGCTGATTCAGTGCACTTTTCCTTCTTCTCCAAGTGTTAATGAAGACAGCTTTTCACTGTAGGGAAATTAGAGATGTGGCTTTTTACTTAAGTCATTGCAACATGTAAAAGTAAAGGGAAAATATTTTAACTTGCTTCAGAAAAAGTAAACATTAAAACACTAAATGGTACTCAAATGTTTGTTTTAGCTTAATCTCCCTAATATTAATTAAATTGCCGTCTAATTACTGTACTATGTGTTAAAATATTGCAGTATATTAAACACACACACACACACACCCATAGACTTCCAAGGTTATTATCTGAAGAATATATGAAGACATAGATCTTCAGTGTTCTTCAAGCATGGGAAGTAATGAAAGCAACTTGATGGTGACAATTTTTTTTCCTAATAACACCCCTGGCGTTTTACACCGAAAGAGCTGATATGAGTATGCACGTATTTGGTAAACCAATCAGTTTAATTAGGGTGACCCCCCCCCCAGGAGCATAGGCAACTCAACAAAGGCTAAACTACTGCAGAAAATGTCTCCTCCAGCAGCCTTCAACTGCAAGTCAGACCTCAGAGAAGAGTGGTTCTTTGTGAGCTCTTCCCCCACCTTGACAACATTGAGAGGGGAAATCTTCATCTTTTTAATTAATTAATTTTTGTATGTACCTCTGTGTGTGTGTGTGTGCGCGCGCGCGCCTGCCTCGGGGGTATAGCCCACAGAAGCCAGAAGAAGGTATCTAATCCCCAGGAGCTGGAGGTATAAGTGGTTGTAAGCCTTCTGCTATGGATACTGCTGTCCAAACTTTGATATTCTGAAAGAACTGTACTTGTTCTTAACTACCTAGCCATCCCTGCAGCTCCCAAGGAGAGATATTGAGCAGGTTACAGGTTATAGTGGCTGCTGAGAAAGTTTAAGAATGCATTCCCAGAATAGAGCAGTCCCCTTCACACTGTCCTTAAGTTGTCACCACTCCTTTGTCCACAGATGCTTGTATAGGTTTTAAACAATGCACTTCCTCAATGGAAATCCTTTTAAGGAATTGTTACTATCTATCAGGCATGTTTTCCTAGGAACATGTAGTTCATCAAAAGGACTCCTTAAATCAGATGACATTCAGATCTTGAACTGGACAGCAAGACAGCAGTATAGAGACTGTCCATAGCTGAATTTTAAACATTTGGCAGGAAGTTCTTCATGTCTGCCATACAGCTAGCACTCTGATATGTGCTGTGCAGCTCAGTAACAAATATTACTATCACATAAATGACTTTACTAAGCAAAGCAAAACAGCTAAAAAGTTTAAGGACTCGTTATTATCAAGGATATATAAGATGGATACTGTTGTATATAGTGTGTGGGAGTGGAGATTAGAAAGCCTTTGATATATATTGGGTAAGCAACATCATGCATCAGAAACTTTTAAAAATTGCATGGCCTCTCACCCAACAATTAATACTTTCAGAAAACATGATGAAAGGAGTAGATACAAGGAACATTACAAAGGATGCAATTAATGGTATGTCATAACTGTCGTTTGCCCTCAAATATGAAGACAGTAAAGGAGGTCTTATACTCAGTCTTTGGAGAAAGGCATGTGTACCACTGTCCCTCATTCCTTCCTGTCTTCCAGTCAGAATGAGCCTTTCCTGGGAATTCACATTAGAAATGGCTAGGCTTTGGGAGATAATTTTAACTTTTCAAAATTTAATCAAAAATAAAGTAAAATGGTATGAGTTCACAGGTAAATTTTTGGAGTTATATCAACTCAATGTAATAATCATGGACAACACTTAAAAATAAAAAGAAATAAATCTTAAATGATTTTGTCAAAAAACAGATAAACATAATGTAATGCAGAAGTATCTAGATTCTGGGGTCAGGTAGACTTTGGGGTTTGATCCCACTTAGTTTCTTCATTGGTGATCTTAGGCAGGTTGATCTTTTTAAGCTCTATGGTTTCACTCTAATAGGCGAAGACAATACTGTATAAAACTGTATGCAGTAATAACTTTTTCTGACTGCCAGGTATAGCTCTCAGTGTTCGTGCATATCAACACATGTAGACCTTGCAGGAACTCTCAGATGGAACCTCTCGATATTGTACAAGATAGGAAACTGAAGTATAGGATTGTCCGCTTTGCCTAAGTCATGACCAAGTGACTGAGAAAGGCCTAGGTGCAGACTGCTCAGCCTAGCCTGAGTACTGCCCCTGAAGCCAAAGCACTGGCCTCTCTAGGTTTTTGGGTTTTTGTTTTGTTTTGTTTTAAGACTTATTTTATTTTTAATTACTTATATGTGTGTCTGTACATGTAAGTCCACTTGCATAGAGAAGCCAGATCCCCTGGAGCCAGAGTTACAGGTAGGTTAGTCACCCAACATGGGAGAAGGGATGCAACTCAGATCCCCTGGAAGAGCAGGCACTCTTCACCTCTGAGGCTTGCAGAAAGGGTGAAAAGACTGTGAGCACCTGTCTGTATTTCCAGTTCAGGGGGTTGAACTTGGAGCTTCACATGCCAGGCAAGTCCTCTACCACTGGGTTGTTTCCCAACCCTCTTTTGACTTTAAAGCAGGATCTCACTGAATTCACTCTCCTACCTCAGCTTCCCTAGTTAAGATTGCAGAGCTGTCTCCACTGGACCCAACTAGAACCTCTTTGTTGTTGTTGTTGTTGTTGTTATTGTTAGGGGTTTTATTGCTTTAATACATGTATGTGATGCTTGTGAGAGGAGGGTAGATGGCACATGTATGGAGGTCAGAAGACAATTTATGGGTCTAAGGATTCAACTCAGATGGTCAGGTTTAGAGGTAAGCACGTCTACCCACTGAGCCATGTAAGTAACCTGGTAACTGCTGCTTAGTCCTCCATTTGGCAAACTGGCAGACAGAATTTTTATATAGGCAGGCATGAGGGTTATTGTCTGCTGTATTGACTATAGAGGTTTGCATTTTGTTTCTGGAACTATAGTTTACATTAGGAATTTTCCTCAAGGATGATTAAGCTGAAGACATGGCTGGTTATAGGATTATAAGTTGCTTTTAAATATTCACATCCCATGTATGTAATAAAACAGTTTAGAATTTGAGATCATCTGTCTGCTCCTAGCACAATAGTTTTCCATAGGCAAAGAAACCTCACATGTTTTTCCAGTCATTAGTAGTGAAACATGGTCATCTGATCTGGCTGAAGGCAGAAGGAGATAAATATACACGTTTAAACTCCATTCTTCCTATATAATAGAAATTGCCATTCTGAGCATTTAGAAATCCACATGGACTTCTAGATCTGAAGAAGAAAGTTGGTTCTGAGTGGTTCCACTTGCCCCAGCTCTTTCTGTTCTATCTGTCTCTGTCTCTCTGTCTCTGTCTCTCTCTCTCTCTCTCTCTCTCTCTCACACACACACACACACAGTACTGGTGTGTGATCACTTGGATCCCTTCTGGCTGTACTATTCTCTTCAGTTAAGAATACCTATTGGACCCTTAATGACATGAAGAACTTCGTCAGTAGATATTTAGTAAGCATCTACTATTATATGAAAAAATCTCTTGTGCTATGTGCTGGGCATAACAGTGAACATTAAATTCCTGTAAACACATGATAGGGTGTTGTAATTGAAGTGTTTTTCTTTTTGAGCCATCTGTTGTCATTTCATTAGACAAGGAACTTTCCTTAAATGATCTATCTAGTCTTTGTGTTCAGCATGGGTGATTCATAAACTTTTTAAAAAAGAGACTCAGGCAACTTACCATGAAGTGGTAGAAATATGAAACAAAGCTCAGACACTTTAGAAGTTGTTTTGTAAATAATATTGAAACAGTTTGTGTGGACTACTATGTGACTAGTATAGATAAACTATATGTTTGCATGCTAAGCATTTTTGTTGTTGTTTTTCTTGCTTTGTTTACAGATTGACTGATAACAAAGCTACTATGAGTCTGTTAAACTGTGAAAACAGTTGTGGGTCCAACCAGTCCTCAAGTGACTGTTGTGCTGCCATGGCCACCTCCTGCAGTGCTGCAATGAAAGATGACAATGTGAGTGGATCTGCCAGCACGGGGACCTTCTCCAGCTCCTTTATGGAAGAGATCCAGGGATATGATGTGGAGTTTGACCCACCTCTGGAAAGCAAGTATGAATGCCCCATCTGCTTGATGGCTTTACGGGAAGCAGTGCAAACGCCATGTGGCCACAGGTTCTGCAAAGCCTGCATCATCAAATCCATAAGGTATTTGATTTTAAGAAAGAACTATGACTATAACACCAAATACAAAGAGCATGTTAGAAACAGGTCATCCCTAGGGCGCTGGTGGTGCACTCCTTTAATCCCAGCGCTTAGGAGGCAGGGGCAGGTGGATCTCTGAGTGTGAGGCCAGCCTGGTCTACAGATAGCCAGGGCTACATAAATTGTGAAGAGGGAGAGGAGAGCAGAGGAGAGGAGAGATAGGTCATGCCAAAAATAGGCAGACAGAAAAGGCTGCTCAGGAAAAAAAAAAGATTGGACAGAAAAGTGAGGTAGAGGTAGTTAGGGTCCTGTCCTAGCTTGTACTGCAGTATGAAAGGAGGCTTCTATGTTTTCCCATCCCTCACCTCTAGGTAAACTGGAAAGTAAATAACTACTTTTACCTCAAGCAGTTTTAATGCTTGAAAGGATTAGGATTAGGAGAGGATTCTATACTAATACTAAAATTAAATAGTAAAAAATGTTATTTTTAATTTGCCTTAAGTTATGCTACTAGAATATAATAAATCCAACAGATGAGTAATGTGGATTCTGTGATTATGTATTCTGATATTAGCTGTGGTAAATTCTGTTGTCTCCTGTCTATGAGCAACTGTAAAATGACCAGCATTTCCGTAATGTAATTCTTTCTTTCTGCCCCCATTGCTATTGCCCCCGCTCACACAGCCAGCCATACATAAATGTATTGCTTGACGTCAGCTCTAACAGACCTTTCTACTCCTAGCCTTGCCTTCTCTCGGTCTCCTTAACAGCAGCCAGAGTAGTCCTGGCATATACCTCGCACGATGTCCCCTTGGCTCAGAACACAGTGCACGAACTATCTGGGAGTGTATGGGATTCATTTTCTGCCCTCTCCAAGTGCCCGCTCTCCTTCCACTCCTTTCTTCATGCTGTTCCTTGTAAGTGCCAGGAATATTCCTGCCTTGTTGAACTGGCTACTCAGTACCACAGCAAACCACAAGCCTGCCTGCCTTCCTACACTCCATGGAGATCCTTCCTTAACAGGCTAAGCTTTGATTTTTTTTTTTTTTTTTTTTTTTTTCCCCTAGCACTTTTGCCTTTAAACACCCCAATATGGTTTTGGGATTTTTTGTTGTTTTTTGTTATTGTTGTTGTTGTTGTTGTTGTTGTTTTCCCTGCCTGTAGCAGTGGGAAGTAGTTCCTTGAGGCTGAGATGTTAAGTGGGTTTCTTCTAGTTACAGGAATAGTGCCTTCCTCACAATAGGCACTTGGAATGTAAATAACTGGATTAAAATATACAAGAGAAAAAGATCCTCATTCAGTTCAGTCCATTACCTTCACACTGACCAACAGACTGTGAACCCACAAATGGATTAATCTGCAGAGGAGGTCAGAGCCCTCATTGAGTTCCAGTCACTTCTCCAAAACTCTGTTTTGAGCATTGCTACATTTGGGACCAAACTGCAATGATTCCTGAGTAGGCTAAGGCCATCTTGGGATACTCAGTGGTCTATGGATTTGTGCCTCTCAGTTTCTGTACCAACTTTTCAATAAAACTTAATTAAGGTGACCATATCCATACTTGGAACTTTAATTAAGTTATAAGGGAGCAGCACATCTCATCAATTTGAGAGGAAATGTGTTGCCTGGCATTGAACCAATAAGATCTTTAGAAGATAGGGTTATGTGTTTTGTTGTTTCTCTATGTTTCCCAACCTTGGCACTGTTGATATTTTAGGCCAGATAAATCTTTATTTGGCAGGGAGTCTTCTGTTAGACCCTGAGTTTCATGCCTGCTGTGTGTCCTCTAGATGCTAATAGTATCACCTTCAGCCCAGCCTGTGAGGTCACAGTGTCCCCTGGGCCAGTTTAAACCACAGCAATCAGTGTTTAAGGCTCATCCTCCTGTCTGTTTTAATATATTGTAATTCAGTAAAATGGGTAACACATGTGACTAGCCAATTTCTTATAGAGAGAAATGTGTACCATTTTATCAAGTGTCCTGGAAGATAACTAGCTAATCTTTGTAGCAAAAAATTTTGAAAGTTGTAGGGTAGTGATATGAGAAAAAGAAACAAATCCCACAAAAGAAAATCTGAGGCTTTAGTCCCATTTCCTTCGAGGCTACAACTGGACCAGGCTAGCCTTAAATTCAGAGATCCCATACGTGGCATGCACTGTGTAATCTTTAACAGTTACCATAAAGATCAGCTCTGTCTCACTTTGGTCAGTTCTGTGCTGTTTGACAGCAGATATTCCCGTCATAGCAACAAGTAGAGCTGAAGTAATGTTTCAGTGATGGATTAAGGCTTCTGTGACCTACCTCATCACATTTTGTTAGACAAGATTGAAACATCTCTGGATGGCTGGAGAGATGGCTTTGTGGTTAAGAGCATTTACTGCTCTTCCAGAGAAATCAAGTCAGTTCCCAGAATCCCCGAACACGTGGTTCATAACTTCATATAACTCCAGCTCCATAGGATCCGATACCTCTGGCCTCCATGAGCAGCTTCACTCTTGTGTGCATACCTCCACACAGATTCACACACATAATTAAAAATAAGAATATCTCTAAAAGATTTTTTGAGACATACTAAAAAAAAATTCAAAGGGAATGGTAAACTCCTAGGTTTCCTGAAGGTGATTTTTCCCACCATAAGACAAGGTGGGAGGGAATACTGAAAAGCCCACCACAGAGTCCCTTTAGCTCTACTATAGTTAATCATAGGTATGCAAATAAAATCATCCCTTTGTTGATCAGGATATAACATATCATAGGCCTCATTTCAAAGCTTACCAGAAGCCCCAGAAGGGTGCTAACTGCTAACTGGTTCAATTTCTTTTTGTAACTGAGCAATATGCTATAAATGTGTTGCTAATACTGATAGACTGTAGAAGTCTTACAGAGCACAGCCAGCCAGACTGCCAGAATTCCTTCCTAACTGACCTTCATTCACTTCATTTTTATGCCAATCAAACTATAATTTTATTCATTGTTTTGCTTATTGTCTAGCTGGGATCTATCCCACAATCTCAGCCTATTAGCTTTTGATAAATAGCACAGTGCTAGTTTGCATTCATTTCATAAGTGAATTCATAAACTTCACAGTGCACTATGATTCTGTTGCTGCTGTGTGGTATAATTCATGTGTTACTTCATATGGAGAGCTGCAGTCAGTTTTACGAGGTGTAGGCTTCAGGCTACTAACTCTAAGTTCCCACTTCTTTTAGGGATGCAGGTCACAAGTGTCCAGTTGACAATGAAATACTGTTGGAAAATCAACTGTTTCCTGACAATTTTGCAAAGCGAGAGATTCTGTCCCTGACGGTAAAGTGCCCAAATAAAGGCTGTTTGCAAAAGATGGAACTGCGACATCTCGAGGTATTAAGGATGTTTTCTAACTGTTGTCACAATGCAGTCTCTAGAGCATAACAACTTTGCCCTGTTATCTGTGTATCATTATAGCAGAACAGAATTGGTGAATAAATCCTTGCCATCATTAAATGTGCAAAGTTAGAAAATGTTTTATTCTTTCTGCTTTGGCTTTGTCCAAGCAATAAAATAAGCCTATGCTCTTGGGAGTTTCAGATCAGCACATCTACAGTTCTACAGTTGAAGAGCTCCTTAATTGCAAGTTACGTCTTAACCCCATAGCTTTATTTCTCTCATTTTGAAATAAGAAGTGTTGTACAGCCATCATCTCAGTACCTTCATTGTACTTACTTTATTTTTCTAAATTGCACATTATATTATTTTCTGAATAATCATGTAGTTGGAAATTAGCTGAAGCAAAGAGATAATTCTCTTTTCCTTTTTAATTAAAATAAAACAATTCTTTGGTGTTTTTTGTTTGTTTTTTCCAGAAATCAAATATGGGTAATAATCTGTTTGAAACTTAATGTTCAGGTCAAGTTTGAAGTCTGTCCCTTTTATTTTGGTCTTTTTTACTAAAAGATTTACTCATTTCTCTTTCTCTGTCTCTCTCTCTCTCTCTGTTTCTCGTGTGTGTGTGTGTGTGTGTGTGTGTGTGTGTGTGTGTGTGTGTGTCCCTACCCCCATGAAGGTCAGAAGAGGTATTGGATTCCCTGGAGTTATCAGCCCAATGTGGGTGCTGAGAACAGAACTTGGGTCCTCTTAAAAAACAGCATTCCCTTTTAACTACTGAACTGCCTCTTCAGCCCTTTTTGTGGGAGTGTTCCTTTCAGCACAGAATAAATTTCTAATCTGGAAATCTAACTTCTTTCCAAAACTTCTCTAACTGGAAATATTAACTTGAGACTTCATATTCTTTTTATATCCTTGACATCACATTATTGTTTGAAAGACTTCATTAAGGCCTTCATGCTTTATATGGCTAGAGAATGTGGGCTTTAGTCACTGTTCTTTTGTTTGTTTGATTTGGTTGGTTGGGTTTTTGTTTGTTTGTTTGTTTGTTTGTTTGTTTGTTTTCAAGACGGTTCTCTGTATTGCTTTGGAGCCTGTCCTGGAACTCACTTTGTAGACCAGGTTGGCTTCAAACTCACAGAGATCCACCTTCTTCTGCCTCCCGAATTCTGGGATTAAAGGTGTGAGCCACCAACACCCAGCTAGTCACTGTTTACTTAGTGTCTGTTGCTGTGATGATACACTCTGACCAAAAGCAGTTTAGAGTAGGAAAGGCTGTATTTGGCTTACAGTTCCAGATCATAGTCTGTTATTGAGTAAGTCAGGCCTGGACTCACAGAATTGCTGGAGAAACACAGATTTGCTGTCTAGCTCACAGGCCCTTACTCAGCTAGTTTTCTTATACAGCCCAGGGCCACCTGCCAATGAAATGAGGTCACCCACAGTGGCCTGAGCCATCCTACATCAGTTAATAGTCAAAACAGTCCCCTCTAGACATACCTAGAGACCAATATGATTTGAGCAGTCCCTCAATTGAGACTCCCTTCTCAGGTGACATGTGTTGTGTCAAATTGACAGCTAAAACTAATTCTGAACGAAAGAACTGTATTCATAGAAAAGATTGTCTCTAAAAATCATTTTTAGGGTTTTAAATGCTAATCAACTATTTCATTATAGGATCATCAAGCCCATTGTGAATTTGCTCTTATGAATTGTCCCCAATGCCAACGTCCTTTCCAAAAGTGCCACTTTCATATACACATTATCGAGGATTGTCCCAGGAGACAGGTTTCTTGTGTAAACTGTGCTGTGTCCATGCCATTTGAAGAGAAAGAGGTATGTACAAACTTAGATTTGTTCATTGCATTTAAAATACATACTTGAAGAGTTAGCATTAGATAAGGATGTAAATAAAAAAAACAAAAAATGAATTTTTTGTTTTGGTTTTTTTATTATAGTTGATTTTTTAAGACAGGGTTTCTCTGTGTAGCCCCTGGCTATACTGGAACTCACTGTAGACCAGGCTGACCTCAAACTCACAGATCCACCTTCCTCTGCCTCCCGTGTGCTGGGATTAAAGGTGTGTGCCATACCACCCAGGTACATTATCAGTTTTCATTTTAATTTTTTTTTTTATTTTAATTTGTTTGGTTTTGGCTTTTGGTTTTTGTTTTCGAGACAGGGTTTCTCTGTGTGGCTTTGGAGCATGTCTTGGAACTCGCTCTGTAAACCAGGCTGGCCTCGAACTCACAGAGATCTACCTGCCTCTGCCTCCAAGTGCTGGGATTAAAGGCATGCCCCACCAACTCCCAGCTCAGTTTTTAAAAGCTAATTTTTATGAAAGAAATAAAGTTTCAAGGAACTCACTGGTCCATAAATGTGGAGTTTATATTTATATGTCCTTAGGAAGCATTAAACTAAGTACTGAGTGTAAACAATGAGCAAGAGCTACTTGGAAAGGTATATACTCCCTGCCTGAATTGTAAGGAATGGTCCGATGGCAGACAAAGAAGTAACATGACTGCTATGTAAGATGTATACAGACTTGTTTCACAAAGAGTGTGAGCTACTGCATATGTAAGAAAGAATTTATTAAATATTGCAAAGTGTGTCCCGTGGATAGTAAGCCATTGGCACCATTCACTTTTCAGTTGTGTATTGTACTTCAGTTGAAGTTAACCTTTAAAAAGAAACAGTATGATGCCTAGCAGCATCATAATAGTAGAGCGGTTGTTTTCATTCTACTGGGATGTAAAGAGGCTAATTAGCTTCATCCAGTGTTGTTAGTGTTGGGGCGACATTGAAACCCTACCCTTATACTCTTTACTAAAATAAAAGGCTGCATTAGTCTGTGTTCCTCTGTAACTAATACTTAGTTACTTCCTTAAACTTTTATCCTTCTAAACGTGTTTCTTAGGAAACTGAGCATTTTATATTTAGTGTGTTGGTAAAATAGTCAACTATTGGTAAAATAGTCAGCTAACTTGCTAGTAATAAATATGTAAAATCTTAGTCATAATTGGAACAAATTTGGTACCTTTCTCAACTTGAACAAATTCCATGAACTAATGAGGAAGGTTTGTCTATTTCTCACCATACCTGTTTATTAAACCAAAGTTACTGTGTTCTAGAAAATGGGACTCACCCTTCATGTTCTAATGTTTTTTGATTGTTTGATCGCTTGCTTGCTTGCTTGCTTATTAACTTACTGAAAGAATTGTAATTAACTTGTCATGCTGCTGGCTGAATACTTTTGCCCTTAGAGAATTACATCAACAGTGATCTCCATGCTACTCGGGGGTGCTCTGCTTCAAGTGCAAAAGAAGTCATCTCTGTTTTGCATGCTAACAAACTGTTTAAATTGAGTCTGAAGACTGAGTTTCTTTAACTACTAAAAATCTCATATTGTGACTGTATAAATAAATGTTCTTCATTTGCTCACGGTGAAAAGATTACTTTATAAAAATTAGTCCTTTTACTTTTTCAGACATTCTCATATATTTCTTAATTCTCTTATACAACTTAGATTCATGATCAGACCTGTCCTTTGGCAAATATCACCTGTGAATACTGTGGTACAGTCCTCATCAGAGAACAGGTAGGAATTTCTTTTGCAAATTTCAATTTTCTTAAGAGTTTAAAAAAGTGCTACTTTTTTTTTAATTGAAAATTTAAAATCAGTATATGTTGAAGCATTTTGCTGTACAAAAAAATATTATACAAATAATGTAATTAATATTTCAAAGGAACAAAAATCTAGTATTTGTAGGCCTTAAAAAACAGACTTGTAAAAGAGTATATTTACACACTGACATGAGGGCCTGGTTGTCCAGAGATTGGCTGAGAGAAGGAGGAAACAGAAGAAAGCTCACCTGCTCAATAGCACAGCAGTGTGCAGCACCAGCTTGTGGGGCATGCAGAGGACTTTGAGACCACTGCTGAGCATCATCAAAGGCAACAGTTGTAATAGAAAACTGTTATATTTTAATTACTAATGAAGAAAGGAAAATTCCATCCAATTGCTATCTGTTGGCATTTAGGGAGTTTACCACAAAGGACAAATATTAGTCACTAAATCTGTGTGAGCCCGAAAAAACTGTAAGTGAAAAGCTCACTGATTACTTACTTAGTAAAAATGACTAAATGTTCCCATGTATTATTAGTAGTATTTTTCCAAGAATTTGAAGATGTTAAACATGTATATGAAGTCATCCCATACCCCTGGTTTTATTTTTTGTTCTCAGTATTTAAAGGAAACTATGCTATACTTGTAAAAGCTCAACAAAATAAAATTTAATAAAGACAAAAAACATAATGAAACATCAGAAAAACTAAACTTTAATGCTTGCTGTGACATTAACTTCACCTCAGTCCACAACTATGGCTCAATTTCTAGTGGAAACTGGGCCCTGCTTTCACATGACTTCTTTCCTCCCTCTTTCTGTCCCTCCTCCTCTTTCCCTCCCCCACTCCTCTCCTTTCCTTTGTCTTGGGCCTTCACACCCCAAAGCTCACACAGGCTGGGTGAGTATACTCTACCAGTGAGCTGCTCTCCAGCCCCTTGGTGCCTTCTCTGTTTGATTGGTTGGTTCTAGGTTTGGTTTTGTTTTTGAGACAGGGTCTCTCCATGTAGCCCTGACTAGCCTGGAATTCACTGTGTAGATCAGATTGGTCTTGAACTTACAAAGATCCACCAGCCCCTGCCTCCAAGTGCTGGGATAAAACGCATGTACCACCACACACTAATCCCTTGGTACCATTTTTAAAATGTGACTTCCTTTAATGTGTCTCACCCTAAAAAAGATACTTTTGAGTCCCCAAATAATTAAAGGTGGAAATTCCTCTACCATCTTTCATCATGGTGTGCATGAATATACTAGCAGATACTCTCAAGCACATCAGCAATGCTGAGAAGAGAGGCAAGCGTCATTTCCTCATCAGGCCGTGCTCCAAAATCATCATTCAGTTCTTAACCATGATGATGAAACCTGGCTACATTGGTGGGTTCGAAATTATTGATGATCACAGAGCTGGAAAAAATGTGAACCTCACAGGCAGACTTAGCAAATGTGGAGTGATCAGCCCTAGATTTGACAGCTCAGAGACCTAGAAAAATGGCAGAACAATCTGCTCCCATCCCATTGATTCAGCTTCATTCTACTGACAGCCTCAGCTGGCATCATGGACCACAAAGAAGCAAGGCAAAAACACACATGAGGGGAAGTCCTGGGATCTTTTTCTAGAAATGTTAAATAAAAAGCCTCCATGGACTGTGCCAGGGTCATTCCTGTTTTCAGAAGAATAACAAATGTCTGGTGACACTTGTCTTGAAGCAGATGAGACGGTCCTATGACCACAGGGTCACTTGAGTTGAGTGTGGGGTGATGTGTCTAGCCTAGGACGGTTGTGTCTCTACCACGTAATAACCAGTAGAGCCAAAATAGGTCAGGTTTCACAGATAAGATGATTTATAAAAGATTATCATAATCAGTCTGTTCGGGGGCTTTACTGAATGTATGACCTGACCCTCATTAAATGGCCTAGACCACAGAGAGGGCTTTGGATTTGCCATAATAGTTGTTAAGGGGGTGTTTTCTTGAAAAATGCCACAAGAGGGCGCCAGTTCTCTACAGTAGAAAATGAGCCCATTTTAAGAAATGAAGTTTAGTGAATTGGGTGATTAAGATGTTAATGTTTAATTTCTCTCAGAGTTGTGAAGAAGCCATAGATAATAACATAGTTCTAGGGCATGATATGCAGGGGAAGACATTTTTCAGCTTTCATTTTGATTTTCAGATGCCTAATCATTATGACCTAGACTGCCCTACAGCTCCAATCCCTTGCACATTCAGTGTTTTTGGCTGTCATGAGAAGGTAAGTTTTCTTTGAATTCTGGAATATGAATTTAAAAAAAAAAATACTCAGGTCCATACCAAAGAATACCAACAAATTTAAGTTTTTAGAAAACATTTACATGTAAACACTGTTGGTGTAAATTATTATAAATATTGATGCTACTACACAGTTAGTAAGGACTTTGTATTTCGGTAGACATATTTAAACTAAATCTTTGCCTTTTTTTTGTGTGTCTGTGCATATGCATGCGTGCACATCAGTGTGTGTGTATGTGGGTGTGTGTGTTCCATGGTATGCATGTGGAGGTCAAAGGACAGCTTATAAGAGTTGCTTTTTTCCTTCCACTATGTGGACCCCGGGGATCAAGCTCAGGTTGTCAATCTTGGTGGCTGACACCATTGCCATCTTGCCCTCCTGTAGACTTAATCTTAACAGGTGGGGAAAAACAACGTTCAAGGCAGCTCTAGAAGATGGCCTCATGGTTCCCAGCACCTGCCTGCAGCAGCTGGCTTGCAGTGGCCTGGAACACCAGCCCCAGGGAGTCCTACAACTCTGGCCTCTATAGCACCTCATTCCGTGCATCCCCAAACACAGACACACACCTGTAGTTTAAAATAAAAATAAAATTTTACCAAAAAGAATGTCCAAGAAGACAAGAGAAAGTGAGTGAGTGTAGTGACTTATTTTGTTGTTGTTATTTTGTTTTGAGTTTTTTCATTTTATATTACTCAATCCAGCAACAACATGGAAGATGTGAAGTAGAGTAAGGAAAGGCGGTATATGAACTTTTCGCTAACAACACCCAAAATAAGGCAGCATAAGAAACGAAAGTGAGTAGAGAGAGATCTAGGAATCCCAGGCACATTTAGGAGGGAAGGTTTTAGTAACAAAGTAGATACGGCAGACTGAGAAAAGGGGGCATCCAGAATGACTGTGGGTTTCTGGCCTTAGTCACTGGGTTGAAGGGAAAGACCTCAACAAGAGTGAACACAGGATGAGCTATACAGAAAGAAAAGGTATTTTGATGGTATTGAGTCTACCCAGCTCTGGCACATTTGAATGGAGATGGCCTGTGTGTAGCTCAGAGAACTGATTGGGAAGAGGAAGAAGTATTGCAATGATACAGAATTCATGTTACAGGAAAGAGAGGTAAGCAAGGAAAGAAACCTGAATGAACAGTGTTCAGAACAAGTGCATCTGGTAAGGAGGACAGTCCTGTCATGGTCTTCCAGGTTAGCTTCAAGATGGGGTCACAGTGTGAAATGTCTGACAGCTTGCTGTGTGTGTTGGCCTTGTTTTCTCTGGAGTATGCTTTTTTACAAGTACTTATAATGAACATACTTCAGTTTAAAAGATTAAATAGAATGGTAACTCATATACTTAAATGTTATGAGGAAACTCTGTATTGTGTACATAGAGAAAAAAACTTCAAGTATATCAAATACTAAGACAGATAATAGGTAGCCTATTTTCTTTTTTAATCACCTGTTATTTTTCTGTAATATACATTGTTTTATAATTCTGATTATCATAGAACATTTAGGAATTTGATGATCTTCAAATACTCTAGAGATGGCAGTTTGCAATAAATAAGCTTCATGAGTGGTAGTTGAGGACTTGACAGGCAGGCTCAGGTAGTTTTAAAGGGGAGAAAATGATATTGATGAAAGGAAGTATGGTCTATAGAAAGCTTTGCCTTGTTTTCCTACTGCAAAGATTTTATTAGCTGCAATCTCAAAAGAGAAACATTAGAGGAAGGAGCATGTGGAAAAGAGAGACCTGGGTATTTGTTGTTTTCGGGTCAACAAAGAAAGATGGGTATAGATGCTACTTTGAGAGATTTATTGAAGTAACAGCTAAGAGTGATCATCAGTTAGCTCCAGTAAAATAAGAGGATTATTTCATTGATTCAGGTGACAACACAGAGAAGTGATAAAGGTTAGAGAAATTGTGATGCTATTTTTCAAACCTCTTGTGTGCCTGGCCTAGTCCTTTTCCTCATCCTCAGTGAGTGCTCCCAACTTGTAGCTTGTGCTTTGTTTCAGATGCAGAGAAATCACTTGGCACGGCACCTGCAAGAGAATACCCAGTTGCATATGAGACTGTTGGCCCAGGCTGTTCATGATGTAAACCTTGCCTTTCGTTCATGTGATACTTCCTCTCCATCCCGAGGATGTTGTCCAGAGGATCCAAATTATGAGGAAACTATCAAACAGTTGGAAAGTCGCCTAGTAAGACAAGACCATCAAATCCGGGAACTAACTGCCAAAATGGAAACTCAGAGTATACATGTAAGCGAGCTCAAACGAACCATTCGTACCCTTGAGGACAAAGTTGCTGAAATGGAAGCACAGCAGTGTAATGGGATTTATATTTGGAAGATTGGCAACTTTGGGATGCACTTGAAATCCCAAGAAGAGGAGAAACCTGTCGTCATCCATAGCCCCGGATTCTACACAGGCAGACCTGGGTACAAGCTGTGCATGCGCCTGCACCTTCAGTTACCAACTGCTCAGCGCTGTGCAAACTACATATCCCTATTTGTCCACACGATGCAAGGAGAGTATGACAGCCATCTCCCCTGGCCCTTCCAGGGTACAATACGCCTTACAATTCTTGATCAGTCTGAAGCAGTAATAAGACAAAACCATGAAGAGGTCATGGATGCTAAACCAGAGCTGCTTGCCTTTCAGCGCCCCACAATTCCACGGAACCCCAAAGGTTTTGGCTATGTAACATTTATGCACCTGGAAGCCTTAAGACAGGGAACCTTCGTTAAGGATGACACGTTATTAGTACGCTGTGAAGTCTCTACTCGCTTTGACATGGGTGGCCTTCGGAAGGAAGGCTTCCAGCCACGAAGTACTGATGCAGGAGTGTAGCATCCATTTACTTGTGCTAAAGGACTACAGACCATACGAAAAACAGTGCCTTCCTTGCCTGGTCCCAAAAAAGAAGATCCAAACAAGCAGTGGGAGAGGTGTAACACCTAGCAGCAAATGTCATCGTGAGGTCTTTTACTTCTTACTGTTACAAATATCTGAGACAGTTTTCGTGGGAATCTACATGTCCCCCGTGTCTTCAGAAATTTAACATTTGAAGGTCTGTGCCTAATCTGCTTGTCAGTGTATCTCTCCATTGTACTTCATGGGCTTTTTCCATGTACTTCACTGTAAAGAAAAGAAAGGCCAGAGTTAGTGTGCTGAAGCTCTTGTTTAATGATACTAGGTGCCTTAGAAACTGAGGCTGTCTTTAGGACATTGATGACTCTATTAAACATGAGAATCACTACTGCCTGTGCTGACACCAGTGAGAAATTTGCTGCTCAGGTGCTGAGTTCTCATTTCAGTTGACGCCTGTGAATTTCAGAAGCTTTGAACCATGGTCCCTGGAAAGCCTAAGTTCTCATGTGCTGCCTTCCCCGTTGTTCACTAAGGACCAGGGGCTTGCGTTAGCTCTTACTCATTTAGTGTGAGCATCTTGTCTGTTGAGCACCTAGTGCTTCTTCCCTGCTTGCGTATGTTGGGGCTGCAGGCAGCAGTTTCTCCGGTATGTAATACTGTGACAATGTGGTTGCCAACTGTCGACTGCCACTGCCGTGTAAGCTTTCTTGTCTGTTCAGTGCAGCTTGGTCCCCACATCCCTGTGCATGTCTTCTGTTGCTTGCAAACACAAAAGCAGCAGGGTAAACATTAAAAGTGATTCAGCTCATCTGCCATTAAATGGCAGGCATGTTATGGATGACTACAGAAACTCTTACAACCAGGAAACTTGTCAGCCCTCTTGATTTAGCTTAGTTAATTGAGATAAAATTGATTTCCTCAAGGGGCTGGAGAGATGGCTCAGTGGTTAAGAACAGTGGCTGTTCTTCCAAAGGACCCAGGTTCAATTCTCAGCACCCACATGGCAGTTTACAGCTATCTGTAACTCCAGTTCTAGGAGACCTGACACACTCATACAGATATCCATGCAGACAAAACACCAAAGCACATAAAATAAAAATAAATAAAATTTGTTTCCTTACAATAGAATCTGTTAAAACTTAAATTGTAGGTATTTGAGAGATGTCTAAACCAATGTTGGCAGTCACTGTGGTTGAACTTGAGTGGGTGGTATTAGTCCAGCTCATTTCCAGTTCTGTGCATATTCTGTAGAATGTATTGGTATGGCCAGATGTTCCTAACATGGAGAGACTGGTGATCATTATGCTGTTGTACTGTGGAATCTAGTTCTCAGGGAGCCCTACAACTAATTAGAGCACTTACAAGGAACCTAAGGGGATCCATCTACTACTGTTTACTGAAGATTGTTTATGTTTTCTGGTCATAAGAAAAGGGACTTCTATCTCTGGCCAAATCAGAACCGCTGGCCAGTGCTAGATCTGCTCTGCTTTCCAGAGGACGCCCAGAGACCTTGACAGACAGAGGAGTCTGCTTTTCAGTTGTAGTCCATCCCCCCACAAGTGGCGCTTTGACCACTTCGCTTCTCTCTCCTTGCTTCCATTCCACCCATAAAGGTGAAGGAAAGACCTTGTCCCCTCCCTTAGCACAAGCTCATCGTGCATCATCAGTCGATTTCCTGGAGTACACGCTCTCAGCTGCGCCTTCAGCAGCCCCTGAGCCACTTGCAGCACCTCCTGCCTAGGGAAACCTGCATTGCCCTATTCCTGCAGTTGTTTCCCATTTGGATAAGTGTGGGGTTTGTTGAAAAAGCAAGCAGTAGTTATTTTTATTTATTTTGAAAATGTACTGGACTATTTGAGATATTGTTTTCTAATGTGTTCTTACTTTTTTTCATATTCCATAATAAACATTTTTATCAGAAAGTTAAATGTCACCACAAAATATCAGCTCCCTTTCCCCTCTGTGTTTTGAAAAAGGAAATGATATTTAAGAGCTTCCTGGTCAGATTTCTATTTAAAAGATGCCTGTATTAGGTGGTAAGAACAGTCATTTCCTGCCTTGGTTTTGGCATTTTTTTTTTTTTAACACCAGCATCTTAAGTTTTTTGCCTAAGTTGAACTTTTCCAAGTGTGATGTTCCTTCCTGTAAAGCAAGTTGGAGTAGATGTTTCTAGTGGTTGTGTTGAGAAGCTCAATGTTAAGCCACAAAACACTGACAACACTGGCTTTACCAGTGGGGAACCAGTGTGACAGTCCCCACTACTGACACAGTGCTTTATTTAATGTCCATCAGCTGATGTGCATCTAACATGGTTTTATAACTTCTCGAATTGGATGTTGTAATGAGCCAACTGATTATCTTATGACAACTCAGTCACCGTGAATGCAAAGTAAAAATGATCAAGCTGGTTTTATAGACACTTCTTAGTTGTCGTCCTGCTCCCCCCCCCCCACTCCCCAGTCCTGAGCATTCTCAGGACTGTGTATACAGTGTGTTGGTCATGGTTTCTTAACAATTGTTTTTTCTTCCAAAAATGTTGTTCCAAAAAGGTTTTCCTCCAAGTCAAATATTTTCCTACCAGAAATCAGGCCTGTTGGTGACTGTAGTTTGGTAATTGGTTACTGTCCTTTGGCTATGACCATTTCTGGCTGGTCAATTTTCCCTTCCGAAACTGAAAAGGAGGAAAGGGTGAATTAGAATGCAAGAAGAGCTTTTTTCACCCTAGTAAAATCAACTGACAGGCGTTGGATGATTTCTCACAGTTAAATTTCATAACTGGTATAAAGTTGAATTTTTACCAGTATTAAGCAAACTAAGACTAATTTGTGAATTATGTGTATTATGTGTGCAATTAGACTATTCTCTTAATGCTTGCTACTGCTTTATCTAAAGTTTCCTTAATCTCCTGTAACCAGAAAAAGTTTTAATTACTAGAGGTTATTCTAACTAAAGACTGAAGTGCTTTTCCTTTTTTTTTTTTTTTTTTTTCTTTCTTTCTTTCTTTCTTTCTGTTATTAACCCACTTTTCTGGCATGCCCTAAATCCTCTTCATTGTCTTAATATAAAATGCCACTACATTTTTTGTGTGGTGTTTGGTGATTATTTTCCTAGATGCCCTAAGCGGGTGACTAGGGCACAGTCAATTGTCATTGGATTGTTGAAATACTCTTTAAATGTCAGCATTCTCAAAGTAGCTGTCATTTGTTTCATAGTTGATGTGATTGTCTGTGGAATGAAATGGACTGGTGCTTCCCAATTCCCAGAATCCAGAAAAATGAGCCAAATGTCATCAATCCGAACAAGTTAACACTCAGTCACAAGTCTTGAGGTCACTGGAATGGAATTAACATTTCTCTGAATGTCACCTGTGTCCTTGATGTTTTAAACTGTTCAACCCCCACCACCACCCCCCAAAAAACAATCAGCTTAATAAAAAAATAAAAAATAAAAAAAACAGGAAAACAATTCTAGTTGAAAACATGGAATGTGGAGAGGTGCTCCATGTCCTGCCTGGTGTCTCCTTAGCAGAACCCAGCCCTAACTGACAGAGAAGGGAAAGAGTGGCCTGCTGGACACTTGCCACTCAGAATGTAGTGCAGTCTGTCTCCTCAAAATGTAGTTCCCTTTTGTGTGGGCCCCAGGGGAGGGCCGAGGTCCTCCTGTAGGCACTGCTTCGGCCCCTGTTCCTGACACACTGTGCATGGGCTTGAGCAGTAACTAGCAACACTCAATGAAAGCCAGGTGGACTCCAGCTGGCTTCTGGGTAGCCTGCTGATCATGTAAGTTGCTAAAGTGAGTGTTCTGTTTCTGTTTTTTCCCCCGGCACTTTATCACAGCAGTTCTCAAATCAGAGATATGTTTAAAGCCTAGTGAACATCTACCACCCAGGACTACAAGAACGTTTGTTAGGTTTGCCCTGTTGTGTGATGTTCCTTCAGTGCAGCTTCTATTTTCTTTAAGACTGTTCAGTCCTGAAATAAACAGCTTGGAGTTGTCTATAATTCTCCTTGGAAACTTGTGATGTTTTATTGTAATTCAAATGCTTTATGCCAATGGTAAGATTTGTATGACTTTAATCTCATTTCTTTGTCTACAAGAGTATTTTTCATAAAGGATTTATTTTGAAGTTCCTGGTCATGCAGACTCTTCTAATGTTATTTTCTTATTTGAGTACATTCCATGGGGAAGAGTGTAATTTGGGGCACATTTCACTAATATATATGATTTCAGGATTATGTTCCTTGGGGACTAAAGTGATTTAGCATAAATTTGGAGTCAGGAGATAGATTGTTGTAGAGGTCTCCACGACATCTATGGTGAGCAGAGTGATTGTCCTCAGAAGGCAAGAAGGCAGTTCAGTTCAACATGACTATGTAGTTTAGCTCAAACTTCAGGAGTCTGACCCCAAGTGGTTCATTTGGGGCATATTTAAACACAGCACTGTTGGTGAAAACTTTTAGTGATAATATCAATCCTGTGTATACAATAAAGCATACATAAATCTCTTCGAGAAACAAAGCAAGCTAAATAAAGATCCAATGTGACCACATCAAAGCTTTCAAAAAGAGCACATGGCACCATCTATAATGGGTTCTGGGAGAAAGCATTTGATAAGGGTCTGGAGGAGGATCAGGTGTAGTCTCTAGGCACACAGATTACACAAAGGTCACCAAGCTTGGAACTCATGTCTGTTCCCAGCCTTCTGGGTGGATAGCAGGTTATACATTCCTTCTAACATCCCTGTCTCCCCTAGTGCTTATCCATGAGCATAAGGACCTCCATTCCTCCTACATATTTTTACCACTGGCTGACCACATATATTCAGTTTGATTTGTAACAGTTTATCTACCTGTGAAGGGAATAAAAATTTGAAATTTAGGTGTTATGGAGTGGGTAACATTACTAATGCCTAGGTCTATTTTTGAAGGTATTTTATAGACCTAGGGAGGCCACTTACAATTTTATAGTTGAAAAACTATAGAGTGAAATCTGACTTTAAAAAAATTAAAATTCAATGGTCAGATGATCACAGCTGTGGAATTGGTAAGGGGTCTTTCTAATGCTTTTGGACTCTGAAAATATGTACTGTATGGGAGGGGGAGTGTAAAGATGAGGTGTGGGTGGTAGTAATCTTAAATTTTAATTGAACAGTTTTGTTTAAGAACAGATGGAAATAATTGTCCAGATTCAATGCCCCACGCTCAACCACACATGCCATATGTTGCTATGTAAGGCAAGCCCTGCTTAGTCTCTCAAGCCAGTGCAGCTGATTGCAGGATTGATGCAGAGGGAAGATCTGAGATTACTATGCTAAGTGGACTCTCTGCACTCAATCTAATAGATAAGTATGACATCTTTCCAAACCCAGGTCACAAGTGTGCACATTCATCTTGTAAGAGGCACCTGGAATCTGACTTTCACTTGGGCCTTAGCTGTAAAGATATGACCAAAACAACATGCCTTGAATTTTTCTGAATGTACTTTCTCTCCTTTACTTCCTTATCAGCCTATATATTGCACAGTATCTTTACAAATGAGTACTTGATTGAAATGAAATATATATATACATACACACACACAAATATCACAATGGTTTTAATACCAAGATTGATTTGCTTTAATGTTACTCTTTAGGATGCTGGGCCTCTATGACAAAAAGAAAACAAATACCAAGCACTAGTTTCTATTTGAAATTTAAAAAGAAAAAAAAAAAATCACAAAACCTTGACCCTTAGGAAATAGTAAATGAGGATTCACAGTAGTTCCTCATTTTGGCAGACAATGATTTCTGGCCTGAAGCTTCAAGTCTCTTTGAAACACAAGCCCAGAGAGAAAAATTTCTACACTGTAGGCCCAGTGAAAAACGTGATCACATGAAAAACGTGTGATCTCCAACAGAAACAGCGGGGTCTCCATCTCCCCATTTCCAAACCTGTGGGTTTGCTCAGCCTCCCCCCAGGTGTTCTGCTGGCATGTATGCCTGTATACCATGTGTGTGCCAGGTGCCCTGGGAGGCCAGAAGAGGGCTTGGGATCCCCTGGGACTGGGCTACAAATGGTTGTGAACGCCCATATAAGTGATAGTAATCAAATGTGTGTCTTCCAGAAGAGCAGCCAGTGCTCTTACCTAAGCCATCTCTCAGTTAAAAGGATTTGTTTCTTTGTGTGTGTGTGTGTGTGTGTGTGTGTGTGTGTGTGTGTGTGTGTGTGTGTTTTAATAAAGCTGCTCCCATTATAGGACAATTAAAAGCCTTTCTATCTAAACTAGGCTCAGCAACCCTGAGGACAATATGAAGCTGGTAAGACATGTAAGTGCTTTTAGAAGATGCCACCTCGGTTTTAAATTCCAAACATAAAACTCTGTTAATCCTAGAATAAACCTTTTTTAGTTTAGCATTCAACTTATATTTTCATTAAGCTGTTTGTTCTATGACTTAATCATGTTTTAATTTTCCTGTTTGTGTGTACATGTTCATGTGTGTGCATGTGAGGGATATACATACACATAGAGTGCACATGTGGGGTTACATCTGCAACATGTGCATGTGGAGGCCAGAGGTCACTGTTGGGGTGTCTTCCTTGATGGCACACTCCCTCATGTTTTGAGGCAGTGTCTCTCACTGAACCTGAAGCTCACTGCTTTGGCTAGACTGGCCAGTGAGTTCTAGGGATTGATCTACTTTTGGTCTCCATCCCCACAGTGCTTGAGTTACAACCCCATATCTGGCTTTCTTATATGCATGCTAGGGATTGAACTCAGGGCCTCATGCTTGTGCAGCAGGCCTTTTACCAGCTGAGCCATCGCCTCAGTCTGTTTCCACATTTTATTAGGTTTTATATTAGGACCAGCATGAGTAAGAAAGAGTATCTCACACTGTAACAGCCTTACAAAAATAATCCTTTGGTTTAGAGTATTCTGTCTCTGGAATGCCTGAGGCGAGGCAGCCAAACAGGGACAGGCGTATTGCAGTTCATGGGTTACGGCCAGTCAGTCCATGGCCTGTTGCTTTGGGCCTCTGAATCCCCTGCATATTTCCAAGGCCAGCTTTCCCCAACAGGCCCCACCCCTTTAAAAGTTCCACTGTCTCAGAATCCTGCCCTAGGCTGAAGCAGATGGCCTCCAGGGGGCATTTTCAAATCCAACTTGGAGCTTTTGGATGGAGATTTTTACATTTGAATATAAACTAGATCTGATCACAGACTTCATACTCCAAAAGGCTAAATAAAACTACACTAAAAGGCAGATTTCAAAATCCTGAACAGGATAATTTAAAAACTAATAATGATATGACTCATACTAATACCAAATGAGCATGTGTTACTTTTATGAGATTTCATTGCTTCTTGGCTTTTAGCTAAGATCACGTACAGTACAACACTTTATGAAATCTTAATGAAGGAACCAAGGGATGTTGAAGCCAAGCAACAAACACACAGGCAGAAGTGCTGGAATAATTATGTAAACAGACCAAAGCTAGCTTCCTCCAGAGTGGAGGAGGACAGTTGAAAGAGCAGGGCACAATTCCTCCTCTAAAACGAACAAGAACTTTGCATTGCTGTCAGCTTCCCAGGACACAGAATTGTGTAGTAAGTCTCCGAACTGCAGAAACCTGAAGCTATGTACTATACTGACTGAACGATGCTGAGTTCACTGAAGCAATTCTCCCCATACCCTGTGCTATAAAAGCTCAATGAAACAAAACGTGTGGATTATAAGGAAATAGAGATGGGCCCAGGGGTACAGGCCTCCAGGTAGATGGAGCACAGGTTCAAAGCCTGCCAGTGAGATAGATGGTAAGCCTAACTAGAACCTGTTACTGCAAACTGTCCTCTGGCCTCCATACACATGCATATAGTCATGCACAGTAAACACAATTTTAAATCTATTTTTAAATGAGGGCTATGATGGTAGTCTATTGGTAGAGCACTTTCCTAACAGGCATGAAGCCTGAGATTCAATTCCCAGACCTGAAGAAAAGAAAGGTTTGAGGTACTATTGCAGTCTATTATCATACTATTCTTTCCGTTACCACTTACAAAGCTCCAGACTAGGAGATTGCCTCACGACTACAGAGCAAACCCAATGTAAGGACAGAGTAGTACGTGCAGAAGAGATGGTCCCAAGCCTTAAGAGCACTGGCTGCTCTTCTTAGCACCCATATGACCACTAAGAACTCTCCATAACTCCAGTTCCGGGGATCTAATGCCCTCTTCCAGCCTCCATGGGCAATGCACAGACAGAAAATAAAAATATGTCACTTTTTAAAAACAGAAAAAAACCAATGTAGCAGTAGGTGGCAGCAGAACTCTACTCCTGAAACACACTGCTTTAAAAAAAAAAAAAAAAAAAAAATGTGAGATAGGATTGACCAGAGACCTCTATGCCGTTAGTGGCGCCATAAATTTTCCTGAGCTTGTACATAAGAGGCTGTAGTGGACTCTAGGAAGGGAGTGCTTAACTTTAGCTTTACACCCAGTGAAAGCTATGAGGCATTTTCAGCAAATGTTGAATAGCCTCATTCCAATTATATCTGCCAGTTGGTTGTCAAATAGCTTCAAGTTAGAAATACTTGGGAAGTTACTCTATCTTTCCTTACTGCCATTTTTGAAAGTCAATACAGAGTTAAATTTTGGCAGTTTCATGTGGTTCAACTTATCCATCAGATTGATGGTCGTCCCTAATCCCTTTTCTATTACTGTTGATGGTGGATTCGCACTTAAGATCAACTGCCTTGTCCAAGTCTGTGTTTAGGAAAACGGACTCTCAGGCTCTAGTCCATCTTAAGGCTGAACAATAAGAACCAACGTGACATCTGCATGCCTACCCACGCAGGTCACTGTGCAGCTTTCTCGAGGTGTTTGCTCAAAGAACCTCTCCGTGTGCTCGTTGGCGTGCCTACCGAGGTCTGAGGGTACAGCTTAGTGATAAGTGCCAGCCTAACCTGCACAAGGCTCTCAATTCAGTCACCAGCACTTAAAAAACTAAGGGAAGGAAGTGGAGGAGGTGAAAGGGTAGAAGAAGGTGGGGGGGGGGAGCTCCCTCCTCTACTGCAACTGCCTGTGCCAAACCTGTAGCAAACTTGCTGCTTTAGACTCCAGGGCAGGTGGGCAAAAGAATCTTCATTCT